GAACCTATCATAGGGTTTTCTTGGCAAGTTTCTTCAGAGAGGGTTTGTGACTGTCATACCCTGAGGCTGAGAGCATGTGACTTGCCCAAGGTCACACAATTAGGTTCCATGGCCAAACAGAGATTCGAACCCTGGTCTTCTGAGTCATAGCTCAGCACTCAAACCACTACACCACACTGGCTCTCACTATCAATGGTGAATTATTCCTGATGGCTATATTATTACCTCCACTATATAGAGACAGCATCTTTCTCAGTGCCAAGGACCATGCATGTGTGGGGGTGCAGTTTCCATTGCACTTATAACCTGCTGGTGGGCTTCCCATTGTCGATTATTATGAGAAGATACCAGTAGATTGAATAGACCTTTTCTCCTTTTCTATGGGCCTCTTCCATGTTTTTAAGGTGTTTGTTTGTTTCTGACTCCAGCTGCCATGATAAATAAAAAAAATGTTATATATGAACAAATCAGTTCAAACACAGCTTGCGTGTTCAGCTCATACCAAGTGTTATATGTACATGTTATATGCACACTTGTTTAGAGGATTATTGTACATTTCTAACCCACATGTTGAAGTATATGTGTGTACAAGTGCACAGATTGTATATACATGCATACAAATTGTACATGCATTGAATGTAATATGCATATCCATGTACATTGAAACACATTCTTTCATCAATAACTGAAGAAAAATCATTGTGTGGGCCACATTCCATCCACAAAGATTTTGAGGTCCAGATTTTTTTTAATACAATTCAATGCAATACAAAATCCTAAGGGGTTTTCTTGGCAAGAAGATTTGTTCAGAAGGGGTTTGCCTTCCTCTGAGGCTGAGAGCATGAGACTTGCCCAAGGCCACCCAGTGGATTTCATGGTGGAGCTGGGAATTGAAGCCTCAAGTCTCCCATGCAGACTGCCAGAAATAGTGCAAATTTAGTCCACTTTAAATTGAGGCTCAGTGCTAAGGAATCATGGGAACTGTAATTTATTGTGGCACCAGAGCTCTGTGACAGAGAAGGCTCAATGTCTTAGAAAAAAAATACAGTTCCCATGATTCCCTAGCACTGAGCCAGGGCAGTGACCCCAATTTAAAGTGGACTCAATTTGCACTATTTCTGGCAGTCTGCAAAGGCCCACAGTCCAGCACTCAAACCACTATGCTGCACAGGTTACTGTGGTTTTGTACAAAGCTATGCTTACATGCTTGTGTTGTTTGGTCAACAGTATTGTGGTTTTTATTTTTCTTCTTTTATGGTTATATTGATATGTTGTTATTGTTCACTGTCATAAATAAAAAATAAGAAAAAAAGGAACAGTGAACTATCCAAAGTCTTTCCTTTGATTTCAGATAGTATTGATCCTTCCTTGAGCATTATTTTGTTGCTCCATAATCACAGGATTGCGTAAGTGGCTTCAGAACAGGAGTCAAACAAGACTTGCCACTGATTCCTTGGTCAGTATGAAAATTCATTGTACTGGCAGGTGTAAAATTACATTTTCAAAATGTGTCTGGCCTACCCAGTACATACATGCATGCATACAGAGAGAGAGAGAATAAAAGAAAGAATGGGGAAGGGGGGAGAGCTGGACTGTGTTGTAAAGGCTTGATATGCCTGGATGCATTTACTTTCATATAATGAGGGGTTTTTGTTCATGTTTGCTGTTACCACAACCAAAACACAATAGCACTAACTCTAAATGGTAGCTCTCTGTTTTTAATGACCTTTTGGTGAGCTCCTTTAGCTTAATGTATCTGTTTCAGTCATTCCGCTGTGAACAGCTTTTCACAAAATGGAGTAAATTCACAAACTTAGTAGCTTGTAAGCTTCCACCACGTACCCCCCTAAGGCAATGAATGTAACCATCTTTCCCACAATCATTACAACGGCAACACTGCAGTGGGCTGGGGGAGTGGAAAATGGAAGGACCTTGGCAGTGGGAAATCTGTAAAGCTATAATGATGCTTTCAGTGCTGTGCATGCTGGAGAAGGAATAGGGAGATATTATAGCAGAGGAGGGTTTATAGGCAAATGGAAGGAAGATTACATAGAAGCAGTACATCCTGGAAGGAGTGGGATTAATATTAGATGGACAGGTGAAGCAGTGCTTACCCTGAATTTCAAAAAAAGAGAAACAGAACAGGATATTTAATTTCCATGGTTCAAACACACATACATGTAGCTGACATTGTGTGATTTTGCTGTATTTGATTGCCAAGGTTACATTATCAAAGATGGATGCCCTCCAGCTGACCCAGTATGACAGAGAGAATCCCAATTAATTCTATGCTGTCCCACCTTCTCAGATGCTTTTGAAATGTCCCAGTTTATTTCTCCTCCTCCCACTTTCTCCCCTTGTCCTTGGCTTACTTCATAGAATCATAGAATCATAGAGTTGGAAGAGACCTCCAGGGCCATCCAACCTCTTGCCATGCAGAAACACACAATCAAAGCACCCCTGACAGATGGCCATCCAGCCTCTGTTTAAAAACCTCCAAAGAAGAAGATTCAACCGCACTTCAAGTGTTCCAGTGTCAAACAGCTCTTACTATCAAGAAATTCTTTCTAAGGTTTAGGTGGAATCTCTTTTTTGCATCCATTGTAGTTTGCATCCATTGCTCCGTGTCCTAGGAGATTATCGCACAGCAATTCGCCTGCAGGATAGATGTAGGATTTAAAAGTCAAAGATAGATTTTACTGCACTGCCCCGTAGGCAGTCAGTATGCAACCCATATGCAATCTGCGCTTCTCTGGGCTTCTTGCACAGTTTTTCAAACACAAAGTTGCTGACAAAGTTTGACATGCTAATTCAGTTGCTGAAAACTATGGGTGGAAGCAGACGACTGCTTCCAGGACGCCGCCGGACGGAGCGCCGGCGGAGCGGAGCCTCCGCACCAAGGCGCTCCTGCGGCGTCCCTAAAAGGAGCTCCAAATTGGCGCTCCTTTTAGATGTCAGGGAAAGTGCACCCTAAAAGCGGCGGGCGCACTTTCCCTGACTCTTCCGCCGCAGCGCATGCGGTCGCTGCGGCGTGAGGTCATCCCCGGAGCGCCGGCTGTGCGGAGGGCCGGCGACTCCAAGGGCGACCTCAGGAAGAGGAAGGAGCGCCGCACGTGCGGCTGCTCCTCCTCTTCCTTGCCTCGGAGACGGCTCAATAAGCCGTCTGCCAAGGCCCTAAGTTAAAAGCAGTTTTCACTCAATTAACTCAGTAGGGGGGAGAGGAGGGGATGGAGTTAATAATAATAATAATAATAATAATATTTATTTGATACCCCACCCCTCTGAGCGCAATCGAGGCGGCTAACAAGATAAAAATATCATACAAGCTAAGAACAATTTCCCCCCCTCCCCCCCTTAAAAAGTTATTAAATTGTTACAGTTTAAAACAAATTAACAAGGAGTTAAAGTCCTCCTTTGTGAAGATTGGAAATGAGTTTTGTTCTTCCCAGTAGGCTTAGGCAAAAAGAAACTGCTGCAGCCTCTCCTAGCTTGTGTATATAGTAGAAAAGTGTATTAGAATTCTCATAGAAGGAAAAATGTATTTTAAATGCAAGGACTTAGAAGTCATATGGAGGTTCTGTGTCTGATAGCATATTAGCAATAGCAAGTACATTTCTGTACCACTCATCGGTGTACTTAAGGACTCTCTGAATGGTTTACAGTGTGTAAGCCAGGGGTAGGCAACCTTTTTGAGCCGGGGGCCGGGTTGCTGTCCCTCAGACAATTGGGGGGCCGAAGCACCAAAAATAAATAAATAAATAAATAAATATAAAAATATATTTTTAAATAATAAAAAATATATGCATGCACACTCTCTCAGCCCCAGAAAAGCCATGGCAAAACCCCTGTGGAGATTTTGCCAAGAAAACCCCAAGAACAAGTAATAACAACAATAATCAATATCATCATGGCAGGCGGCGGCAGCAGCAGGACCAGCCTAGGGCCGGTCCAAAGGCCTCGGGGGGCCGCATCCAGCCCCCGGGCCTTAGGTTGCCTACCCCTGGTGTAAGCTAATTACCCCCAACAAGCTAGTGATCTTGGAAGGATGCAAGCCTGAGTTGAGCCTGCACCCCTGGCTGTTATTGAATGCACAATTTTATGGTTTGTGAGTGAGGAGCTTATTGCATGAGCCTTTAAATCAGCAACAGCCCAACGGGATGCAGCTGGGACCCAGGATGGAGGTGGGAATATTGCATTGTAATTTGTTGCTGAATCCGCTGGGCAACCGCAGCCTGCATCCCAGCCAAGCTCAGCTGGCCCTTTTTCAAAAATGAAAGCTCCCAGCTCTGAAAACTGGCCAGCTGAGTGTGGCTGGGACCTGGGCTGCAGTTGCCTGGTGGATTTGGTGGAGAATTATAATGCAATAATTCCTGCCTTCGTCCCAGGTCCCGGCTGCATCCCACTGGGTTGCTGCCGATTTAAAAGCTCACGCGATAAACTCTTTTGAGTGGCTGCAGTATAGGTATTTAACCATTGCGCCACCAGGGCTCATTCATCAATGGATGTCATCACTCATACTGCAGTCAGTGATGAACCTACATGTTGTATACGAATAGTTTTTCCTAAACCACTAATAATTATCTCCACATTGACAATGGGATGGTTCTGATTTTTATTTTTCTATAGCATATACAAAACAGAGAACTTTGTTCCAGAATGTCAACAGAAATATATTAATTTGCTCTCTTGAACTGTCTTGGAAATATTTTTGTGAAGATTGGAAATGAAGCAAGGAAGGAAGGAAGGAAGGAAAGAAGTCACATTTGGACAAATCTTTCTAGTCTTAGGCTAAGATTTGTCAGATTGATGGTTTTACAGATGAGGAGTGAGTAGAAATTTCCAAATGTTTTGCTGTGAAGTACTGCTAGGGAGAGACAGAGAATTCTTCTCTCGGCATAAAGTGAAATCAGACAATTTTTCAAAACATTTTTTCATGTTGTCTGTCTTTAAGACCACCTAGTGGATAAATTTAGTATAGCAGATTAGATAGATAGATAGATAGATAGATAGATAGATAGATGAGAGAGAGAGAGATCATTATACATCTGCATTTCATTTAAGTACTAACAGTTGTGAAATGTGTTTATAATTTTGTCATTCTTTTGAGTACAGTGTATTTGACTAAGCAAATGGTAAAAACTCTATGAAATAATAAACTCTATCTTAAACTATAATTAAATT